CAATTAACTTTCGTTTCTCATAGGACGCATCTCATATAGTGTCAAACTTCCAGTAAATATTAAAATTCTATTTTGAATAGTTTTTTCACAAAATAGATGTTTGCGTTTTTTGATCAGGAATTACCCCAGGTCACCCTATTAATTTGAAATTCTAGTTGAAGCCCGTTATTACTGATTTTTTTAAAAAAAAATCTCAAATGACAATATAAAAATCATGATTATTTCTTTTCTTTCTCTTCTGATGCGCAAAAAAGAGATCTTAGAAAAAAAAAAATTCGAAAAATTATGCAGAAATCGAAATTTTTCCTTTTCCAAATTAAAAATCTTTGAGCAAAAACTCTGTAGCATTCTGGCCGTGTCCCACAATTCTGCCACGGGGCCGTACAGAGGATGAGGGGGAAGGAGGGCGACTCTAGACCAGGTCGCCTCCCTAAATGGCATGTTAGATTCTTGGAATCTCAAATTACTAAGAATTTTTTTTTTTTTAAATAGAAATTTAACTTACTTCCTGGTTATACTCTTCATCCAACACCATTGCTTCAGGTTGTTTCTGTCAACAATAAACATGAATGAAAAATAATTAATCAATAATAAATAAAATAAAAATGCAATCCTAATTCTCAGACAATAAATTGGATAAATGTCTCAGGAATTCATTTTATATAATTTATAAACATGAATGAAAAAGTCTTAAATGATAATCTATAACCCAAATTTACCAATGTAGTTTGATATTCTTATTTCAATGGGCAGAAAATATCTAATTTACATATTGTTCAGTTTTACAGTTCAAGTATTAATGGAATTAAAGTTTATTCTTATCAAGATCACTTAATACATTCCATATTTTTTAAGCACGTAAATTTTCAATAAATAAAAAGTACTATTATATATACTAAGCTTTTTTTTTTAATCTTTTTTATAAAAATGAATTCAGTAGCATATTTGTTTTTCCAAAAGGCAAGGATTAGTTTGGTATAAAATCGAAAAAGCTGAAACTATAAAACCAAAAATGTTAAGTGCAAGACACATTTGCAATAATTGAAAAAAGAAGAAAAAGAAAAAAAGACTGAAATTTGAATAAGAAAAAAATATGTAGGAAACATATTTATAATATTATCAAATAGTTGGAAGCAGCACACTACAAGTAGGGTAACTACTGCAGTTGCTATTTTTCTCCTCTTTGTGTAATGAGCTACTTTTTTTTAAAATGCAATGAGTAATGTGATACAAAATAGCAGTTTGTATTGATTTCGAGAAACTGCTTTTACTTTAAATAAAGAAACAAGGATAATCCGCAACTAATTTTTTAAACAGGCACAAATCTTCCCAGGTCTATCTTTGGTGAATTAGAATAATGTCTAATGCTCAAGAGCAGCAAGTCTTTTTCATATAGGTAGCGACACCTTTAAATGGGAATATATACAACGGGAGAGAACATATTTTCAGAGTAATTCTCCATGTACTTAATTTCTTTGAGGAAATAAAAGAGCATCAAATTATTAATATTAAAAATATTTTATAACTTCCTAGCACTTCTTAAATATTCACTGTTTAAAAAAAAGGTATCAAAAAATGAAGGTTAAAAGAACAAATTTAGAAAAAATTGGTTTAGGTTGGTGAAAAAAACGGTTACAAACTGACTTCTGAATAAATACTTCTTAATAATTCCCCAAGTTTAAACAAGCTAATTTTTTTTAAAATTTAAAACCATTTTGAATATGTATAATAAGTTCTCCAGTAAAGCTTGTCAGTTAAGTATTATAAATTTGTGACTACATTTCGGAATTAATTTGTAGTCACTATATTTAAGAAAAAAGTAGTTGTTTTTAACAACAAAACAATGTAGTTTTTTCAGCCACTGATATTAAAAATGTTTTTAATAAAAAGTATTAATGGGAGATTTTTCTTTTTTAAATTGTGAGAATATTAATCCTAAAATGTGATTTTAAAATCAAGTGAATATGAATCCCAATGCGTGATTTTTAAATCAGGTGAACATGAATTTCGGTGGGTAATTTTAAATCGTGCAAATAAGAAGATACTTTATTCTAAATCTTATAAATAGCAATCAGGATAGGCAATATTAGATCAAGTAAATACAAACTGTGAAATGTGATTTAAAGCTGCGTGAATGTAACATCAAATCTCTTGTACAGAGGTAGATAAAAGCGTAAAAAATTTTTGGGGGAATTATAACAGAACTTCCTTTGAGAAAACAAAATTTCCCATTTAATTTAATTGAAAATTTCTCAAAAGAAAAGAAAAACTAAATCCTCTAAATACTTTCATTTATACACTTGCTTGGCAAATCATTTTTGAAAACTGCTTTATTAAGAGCAATTGAGACAAAATAAAATATGGAAAAAATCAAAATGTTTATTAAATTAAAAATATATATTCTCTAATATAAAATTACCATAAAATCTTAGTTGGAAGCTTTCCAAACAAAGCTAAGTTTTTACAATTATATTTCAATAATCTATTCATTATCTAGATCTGGTTTAATTTCAAGTAATCTGATCCACAAGTTCATTTTAAGCTCCTTGGAAGTTTTAATTTCATTTCAAACATACAAAGAATCATAATTTAGACTTTATTCTGATGATACAGCCTTTTATTAGTTTAAGCATATAGTAAATTTATTGATATTCATCTTCCAACTTGCTTATTTTCTTTAATATTGACCTTGTTAGCAGATTTTGCTAAGTCAATCTACAGCACAATCTTTATAAATACACATTTTTCTGCAATCATAACAGAGTCAGCCGGAAGAGCTTCGAGTCAGCATTAACAGGTACAGACACGGAAATATCCTCATATCAGTACCTTTGTCAAAATAATCACCATGCTTACAATGGAATAACTCGTAGCTTACAATGGAATAACTCGTAGTCACTAAATACATATATTTTAAAATTTTTGAAGTACAAAGCCCTTTATTTTCTTAGCAACTGCTGTTAGTACGAATAGGTACTAATATGAAAATAACCCCAAGAAGGTTGATATGATAAACAAAGTTTATTGTATATTTTTCTTGGTAAAAGTGTGATATTCTTAACAAGATGAAGACCAGTCATTCTCAAAATAAAGGAAAAAATAGAATTAAATTTGAAAATAAAAAATTTAGGCATATTAATTTGAACTGATAAATATTACACAATTATAGATAAATAATGCATTGAATATTATTTGCCTTTTTAAGCACCAATAAGAATTTAATAATGAAATTTCATAGTTTAATTTTTAAAAAGCAGTTAAAAGTCAATAAAACTAAAGAAAAAAAAGTATCTGTTGTAGGCAAAACTACAAATGAGCCTTTACTAGGACGAACTTTAAAATTTGAGGAAAATAATAAAGATTTTTTTTTATATAATAAGGCGAAAATAGATTTTAAGCAAAACAGCTTAAAAGTGAAAAGAAACGTAATTTATTCAGCTCAAAATAAACGACAAAAACAGAATAAAAATCTTTCAGCTAAAAATGATAAATCTATTGAATTTAAAAATAAACAGCGAAGAAATCAGACATTTGTAACCTTTTGACAGGTATGATTTACTTAAAAAAAGATATATAGCTAAAACTTTAATTGCTTACCTGAGTGCCATTTGTTTCACACCCATTCAAATTAAATGGAACACCCAAGTAAGCTAACGGCATGATTATTAGAAATAAATTAACATTTAAAATTTATGTATTCAATACAACATGAAACAAGACTCATGTTTTTATTTTCTACTAGAATGACACTTTTTCATGAAATAGCAGGTGTTTCTACCGACAGGCGTCATATCCGTTTCCGTTTATTTTATTGCCATATTACCTGCATTAACTCTCTCAGTTTAAAGAAGTTTATTTTTACTAGCACGTTATAATAGCGCAGTCTTATATAGACCAATCAAAACTCAGAATTTCTTTTTCTTCTTTACCTGATTTAATTATTTCTTTTTAAAGTAAAACTTTAACCGTCGTATTAATTTGTTTTGTAAACAAATCCGTCTAGGTAATGTGGGTGAGTTCTAAATGAAAGTGGAAATTGTTGAAGAAAATCAATTGAATTAATTCTTCTTCTTAAAAATTAATGGTGTGGTAAAAATCAAAATTCTTATTATCATGGGAAGTTGTTTGGATTGTTGCAAAGGATCGGATCCTCCTTATACATCCCCTAATGATGTTTGTTTACTATTTAATACATTAATTATTATAACACAAGTTGTTAGTATTTATGTAAATATATAAAAACATTTTTGAGGTTACTATAAATTTTAAAATTGTGTCATTGATGAAACTACGTTGATAACGTTAGTTGGTCGCAGTAGGAATATTCTAACTAAATTTTACAAAATGTACCTTCATATTATGTTTGTTTAATTTGTATATATTATATTTTAAACTAACTGGATTTTAAAATTTCCCGAAACTGTGTGATATTATGACTTAACATAAAAAAAATTTCATTTATCAATTGTAATTTAATAATTAGGTGTTTTTAAATTATGTTTGCTTATGTCTTTGCATACTACCGATCAGGACACAGAAATATTCCTTGTTTATACATTGATTATTCATATTGTTGACAGTCTTCAAATCATCATGTGTATAACTCTAAGACTGCTACTCACGACATTCAAATTGAATGGACATGTTGTCCCACCGGTATATTTTTTAAACTCTCTCTGTGTCAAAACTTAAATCGCCATATCATCAAATGAAGCTACCCAGTTGTTGTAGTAGAAATAAGTTTAAAAAATTTCAAAGCGATTGTCTGGCGTTGCAACAAGTTTTGCTTATCGCATTTGCCTCATTATGTGTTGTTTTTTTTAAAGTTTCACATACTCCACCTGGTTATTGCTAACATTTGGGGATTATTTTGGCACAGACTACTGATACAAGAATATTTTTTTGGTTCAGGACCTTTCAGAACAAACATTGAATTAGGGATAATCAGTTTATTTCTTTAATTTTAGTATGGAAACTAAATCGTTTTGACGTATTTGTTTTAACACAATTTTTTATTATGATACACAGCAATTTTTGTTATTATATTATTTTGAGGTATATAACTTTTATGAAAATGTACTGTGGGGCAATTTTCTATGGAACCTTTATAGTTTATTTTTTTCTAAAGGTACTGTATATCGATAAGCATCCCTCATTATTTACATCTTCTCATGCTTATGCCACTTTTTTTTTTATGAATATAAAAGTAACCTAAAACTTAGAAATGAATATTTTCCTTTCTAACTGGATTTGCATCTAGAATTAACAGTAAAGTAATAAGAAAGTGATCTTAACTTTCTTCTGCACAATACCATCTTAGGCTAAAGAGATATTTTAAATTTAGAATAATAATTCTTTGATCATTTTGGAAGTTTTATTTTAAATATTGTTTTAGTATTATAGAGGCATAATTTTTTAAGATTACATTATTTTAATATAGTTCACATTTTTTTTTGTGTGCTTAAATTGAAAAAGTTTTCAACCTGTGCTTTTCCTGTTTTTATAATAAGGTTAACTTTCCATTTAAGTAAAATATCTCGAACTTAACAATCATTTAGGAGGAAAGAAGACAAAGAATGGTTGAAGCTGCTGAAAGGCGACAACATGAACAGGAAACCCGTGGCTTGAAGGATGATTTAGCAGCCAAACGTGTTGAGAAAAATAAGGAAAGAGCTAGGCAAATAGATGAAGCTTTGGACAAATCGAATTCAGATGCACATCTGAGGGTATACTTGTTTTATTTATGTTTTTAGCAATTGAAATTTTACTTAGATTCGTTAAAGAAATAATGTTTAATATTGTTTTTTTTTCCCTTCATTTTATGGCAATTCTTTTAATTTATAGTGTTTTACATATTTTATGTTGCTTGTCTTATAATTGTGTTTTTTTTAAAAGCAGATTTTTAAAATTTTTTAAAAATTTAAAATATGATTCCATTTATTAAAATTAAAAAATTGTCACTCCAGATGCAAATCTATGAAGTTACAAAACTTAAGTTAAGGTGGAGAAGATGATTTAACAATCTACTTCAATGAAAAACCAAACAATCAGTTACTCAAAAACCATTTCTGCAGTTACTTATTTGTATTCTTCATCCTTTGTGGTATATGAGGCATTCAGGATGTTTATTTTCTTATTATCTCAGAATATGATCTCATTTAAGCTACTAATTATTAAGCTTCATTGAATATTATCAAACAAAATATTGGATATCTAGATTCAACCTGTACTAATATCTGACTAAAAGGTTGATTACTGATTATAGCTGGTTTAGGCCCTAAGAAGTTTAATTCCTCCATGTTGCATTTTGGTATATTTTTCAATTGTAGTGCATTTTTTAAGTTATAACTAGCAAATGCCTGCCTGTATGTTGCTCTCATTAGAATAGCTGGAAGCTTCACAGATTGCTCGATGTAGAAATGGTTAAGTTCGACCCTCTACTATTAGTACCAAAAGTTACTCACATGATTACTCTTATTCTATTACTTTCTAAATTACTCTCATATTTTAAAGAAGCTTTATTTATTTTGGATAGCAGGCCACAAAATCTAAGAAATATTACTCTGTCCACTAAAGAGGAAATTGAAGTAAAATTGCAGGGAATATAACTTATGGGTAAACTGCCATAAATGACCAAGTCAATGATTGACAAAAATGAACTAATATCAGTTACCTTTTTTGAAAAAAAATAAAAAATTCCAAGTTAATGTGTATTATATGGATGTACTGTCAAAGGATATATATATTGATTTGTCCTTTTTTATCTTAAAAAAGTGACAAGCATTATAGTGACTTGGAAATGTTCTTACTGTTGCCAGTTATTGACTTGATAACTTTTTGCAATAGATGACAAAATAGATTTTTAGATAACAAAAACTTTTAGTGAGAAATAGAAATTTTTATTTTAAACTAAAACTATTGAAAAAAATGCTCATAAAGCAAACCAAAATCACAGGCAATGTTGAGCCTTTTAAATAACTTCACTAATCACAGATTATTTTAGAATTAAAATGATAGTTGATTTATAATATGCAATTAACAATCGAATATAATTAATAAACTTACATTATTTTCTAGAATACAAGTTGCAATAAGATACTTATAACAGTTTCTAAACTTTTATATCAGGCCTATTTTGCAGTTCATCAAGTGAATAGTTGAATTCTTTTATTAAAAAAATAAATAAATCCTAATGTCAAAAAAAGGTTTTATTTCTTTAAAAAATTTGCTCTTCTTCAGTAGTATGTGTGTGAAACAACACTTGCTATGAATAACCTTGATGTCAAAGTACCTAATTTATGATCATAGGTGCCACTCAGAAAGAAAAAAAAATCAAGACTTATTTTTTGACTAATTAACACGGTAGTCATTAACACTCTTTACACCAATTGCAGAATTCTGACATTTTCTTGGAGCCTTTCCCATCTCTATTTATCACTTCATCATTAATGTTTTGTCTTGGGTAATTTTTTTAAAAATAATATAATTTAACTTTGCTTAGCGTCTCAAAATATCGGGAATAATTACAATATCAACCAGATTTAGATTTAGCAACACATATTTTACCACAAATTCAGCCAATCCCACTCTTTGATTGTAGTGAGACATCATTAATTGATCATTTTTTATTAATTAGGAAAAATAACAATGTTTATTAAAAAAATGTAATTTTTTTGAGAACTGGAAATATATATTGGAGAAGGTAGTTCAGTTAACTAGAACTTTTTTCAAGACTGATTTCTGTCCTCGGGACAAAATTCTTAATTAACCTCGACTGAGGTTTATTAAGAATTTTTTTTTCTAATATTCATTCAGCAATAATTCGTTATTCTGAGAAAAAGGGAAGGTAAAGAAGAGGTTCTGTGTTTCATGTTTAATTCTTTTACATTTGAAATATACATTCCCGATTTCATTTTTGAATACATTTTGTTCTCACATTGATAAGTCTTGCTTTTTTTTTTTGTTTTTTGTTTCTTTACAGTAATAGAAATTAAAAAAAGGTTCCAAATAATTCTTTTAAAATTGTATGTTTGTTGAAAACATATATGTTCTGAACAAACAAATAATAAAAAAAAATCATTGATATCAGAAATGAACTTTAAAAATAAGGACAGAATATTTTGCATCAGGAATATCAGGACAACGATGAACCCTGCTATATCTGAATTTCCTAAAACTTTTTCTTGTAGTCTTTAGATGATGAGCTGATTAAGTAATACATTTGATTTTCTACTCAACATTTTTACATTTGCTTAACGTTGTATATTGTTTATAGATATAAATAATTACAGTATATTCTTTTTTTTTTTTTTAGTGGCAAGTCTCATAGTTGGTGTCACGCTCAAGAATTTGTAAATATTTTATAAATCTATGTCACATAAGTATTATATAAAATGTTTTATGTTGATAATTTTTAAATTTTGTTGCACTTGATATTTCTGTGATTCATTTACAATTTTGTTTAAGGAAATTGTGCATAACTAAATGAAACTTAGCAAAAGATTTTTAGCATAAATTTTTTTTGAGTTATTGCTATTATTATTTATGATTTTATTATTGTAATCATCATCTAGCTATAAAAAATCTTTAAGAACTTCTAGTTAAATGTTAGTTTACATTATGAAGTATAAATATGTAATCATTGCAACTCAAAGCTTTAACTTGATATTCAATATTTGTGTTTTAACAAATTTTCTACTATAAAGTTTTAACTATTTCTATTTGCTGTTTTGTAATGTCAATAATAATGTAGCTTTTTTACCAGGAAAGAAAAAAAAAGAACAGGAGAATCTATTATCCTAACATTTATATATTTGTACAAATAATACAATTTTTGCTAGTATTTGTAAAGACGTAAATGTTATGTTTTGTTTCAGTAAATTCATTAACTGTTCAAAATTCTCTGCACTCTTAGTTGCGTGTTATACTGTGAAATTCCTAACTTCTTTCATCAGAAATATAGCTATTATTTCATATTCAAGAAATGCTATAAGCCTTTCTAAATAATTTACAAGGTTACTTCTCCTATAGTACTGTTAAAATTAACTGTTTGAATATCTTGAAACAATTAATTTCCTCAAAAGTTTCTGCATTCTTAGTTCTGTGTTTCATTTTGCTATGAAATTCTCAACTTTTTTCATCACAAATGTAGCTATTATTTTATACTCAAGAAATGCTTTAAACCTATATAATTAATTTACAAGATTACTTCTGATATAGTATTATTAAAATTAACTTGGTGAAATCTTGAAACCATTTTTGCAGAAAAATTTGTTAATACTGTTCTTTTTTGAAATAATCCATTGTAATTTACTATTTATTTAAATACATAATTTAATACTTTATATAGATTTTGATAAAAAATTTGTTTTTTCTCAAAAAAGATGTATATTCTGGTTTATTTTCAAGTTGATAAAAATTGCTAGTTAAGTTTGACAAGTTGTTTATTTCTACCTTATCATTTAATTGCTAATAAAATAGTTGTAGAGCATACATTTCATTTATTTTAATTACCTTTTTTTTATTTTAAGTCAATTTCTTTTACTAATTCAAATTATTGAATGATATCAGGCATTCAATGCTTTTCAAGATTATTAAAATTTTTTTTATTTTAAGTAGACTTTATTTGTATTAAAGTTTTAATTTATGAACAATTTGCATTTCACGCACTTATAGTTGAAAGAAACGTTGTTTCAATATTTTCTCGGAATCAATGCACGTGAAGATTAAATTATTCACACAAGATATTATAAGATATTTTATGGTAGCATTTTGTTAAAAAAATGCCTTCAAAATTTATAGCAATAATAACTTTTAATTTCAAAATTATGAAATTATCATGTAGACTAACAAGATGAGAAAGTCTTGTTTTCTTAAATTCGTTTAGAAAGTAATTTACTGCTTAGCATAAAATATAAAAATGTCTTGTTGTCTCAAGAGCTACTTTAGTCTTGCACACTGACTATGATTCTAACCAGAGCTCCGAAAATACCGAGTGTCTAAAGAATCACAGTTATCTGTTATTTGTAATATTATGAAACCTTTTTCTTTTAGTAACAAAATCTAAATATTTTAATTTTGAATATATCAAGGGACATTTTTTGAGCACCTGAATATTGTATGTATTGATTACTGATGTATTGATGAATTAATACATTCGTGAAATACCTATTTATTAATACCTTGAATGATGCCATTGCTTGCTCTGGATTCAGTCATTTAATCTTTGACTATTAATTTTTTTAAAAAGAAATTTCAATAAATTCTAAAGTTATTTCTACAAATCTAAGAAAAAATGTAGTGATGCTGATTATTTTGCAGGTAACCATACTTAACAATTATCTAGAAAAAATAATGAATATGAGGCACACATGAAAAATGTTTCAATATAGAAGTGCAATGCTACTCAAGCAATTATGTATGCTTTTAAACTAGAAATGTTTAAAAACAAACATATTTTAAATTACTTTCATTTTTAGATAATATTAAAAATTAAAATTAATAATTATCTTCACCCTTATTACTGTTAAGGTTCACGCAAATTACTTTTAAGGTTCTTTTCCTGATGTTTTTTTGAAATTGTTGTAGACCCCTGGTTATGAAGATAAGTCTCTTTGCAAAGGTTAATTGATTCATATTAGTGTAAGTAATTTGAGACAATAACAGAAAAATTAACTTTAAATTGTTATTGTACGAGTCTTAATATGGTGCAGAAAATAGGTTGAGTCTCCAATTAATGTGTAAACTTACTAAGTAGAAACTAAGTGTTAACTAACTAAGCGAATCTAAGTAAAAAGTGTGTTATCCTTTTCATTTTTTCAAGTGTCTCTCATTAGAAATGGGTTTATACTTTTTTCCAGTAGAGTATTAAAAAAACTACAACTTATCTGGAGAAGTTTTCACCACAGCAGGATAATGCCTTTCATCTGCATATTTCGACTCGTTATAGTATTATAATTTTCTGTTTGGTTTACAGTGCCATTACCAGATAAAATCACACCTCAGAACTTTAGATTTCAAAAAACTCTTTTTTTTTCTTTGATTTACCCTTGTAACATTCAAATTAGTTTTATGTTTCTATATTACTTTTGTTTCTGGTTAAATGTTTTTTCCTAAGTATCATAGTAAACCCCTACATCAAATTATATAACTTTCCATGAAAGTAATTTTAATGAATTGGCAACTGCATAATGTGTAATACATGTTTTTAAAATGAATAAGGGATCATTTAAAAATGAATCAATTAGAGAATCAACATCAGTCAATTAGAGAATCAACATGAGTCAATACCAGCTAACTACTTTTTAGAGGAATCATTGAGAAAAGAAAGAAAATGTGTTTGCGAGCAATATTATAAAACATATTAACTAGTAAATAATTTGTGTAATAAAATAAAAGTTTTCGTTTTTTTTTCTTTATAAATAAGAAATAAAAGTACTTTCAATAAATGATGATTTTTAATGAAAAACAATGTAATTTCAGAAAAAAATTAGAAGAGAAAACATAAACTATACGAGCTTTTTCTTTAATAGTTAAGCTCTAAGGAGAAAAAAATAATCATGGCCTATCACATGCAGAAGTATTAATGAGGATTATTTCAGTAACAAGCACAATACAATGTTTAAATAAATAAAATAAAAAATTTCTTCTACTCTAATGATCTGATTTTGACAAATTAAGTATTAATCTAAGGGTCTCAACAGGTAACTTTAAACATGATAATTAATTAGTACAGATAATATTGCAATTTTCGAAATCAGACACAAAAATGCATTTTTTCTGAATAAGGAAGACATGCCGTTTTCTGACGAATTTGGATTTTTGACCATCAAAATAGGAGATATAGCTTCAATCTAGAAAACTTGGTTTAGTCAGGTGAGTAGCCTTAATGTTAATTTTAGAGTATTTTCATTATATAGGAAGTATTTTCATTATATTGGGAAGTTTTTAAGCGAATCAAAAAATTTTGCACATAATGCACCTAAAGGTAATGTTATGTAAAAAAATAAATGTTTAATAATTATTTATTATTCTATTAAATAATGGTCGAAAAAATTGTTGTAAGGTATATATCGTTTTAAACTATATGTAATTTTAAAAGGAAATTTTAATAACTATATAATAGTTTGCCAGAAAATAAAGTTCAAAAGTGAGTCTTTTTCCTAAATGTAATTACTCAGAAACTATTTATGCTGATTTTGTAATTTAAAATTATATTAATTTAAATGGAATAAAAATGCATACAACGTAACAATTTAAAAACTTTCAACTATTATTAAATAAACTAACTTAGGGCCCTATCCTCTGCTTGCTGTGCTCACCAATCTGCTTTGCAGTTATTTTCAGATTGCTTCGCAATTAGAGCTCACCTGATACTTCTATATTTTAGTCAAGTGTGCTGGTACTTTTTTTTAAAAATAAAATTCTGAAAATATATAACCTACATTACCTATGGATTATAAAAAATATTTTACATGAAATTATTTTAGGATGAATGACTTATAATTCTGTGCATAACTTTTTCAATTTACTTCTAAGCTCCTCACATATGATGAAATGTGCAAAAAATGAAGTTAACATTAAGGGGCCCAAAATTTTGTCCACTCTTCTGACTAAACCATTGGGATCTTGTTTTCTTAATTGGGGTTACCTGCCCCCATATTTTGATGGTCAAGAGTCCAAAAACGCTAAAAAAAAGCCATGTTTTTTCAGAAAGAGTGTTTTTGTAACCGATTTAACATAACTATTGGCCCTTAGTTTGTGAAAATTTGATCAAAACAAAAGTTATTCAGGGTGATTTTTTTTGTTTGCACTGTGTATGTTTAGTAGAGAAGAAGCTCATTGTATAATAAAAGAAAGCAGGGTTTAAAAAAGCCTAGCCCACCAGGGTTTTTTCAGAAATATTTAAAATTAGTAAATTAAAAGATCTCAAGTTTTACCCCCCACATTAACTCAGATTTAGTTCCCGAGTCTATTAGAATAAAATCTACACCTAAGCATTTTGCTTGGTTATCATTGTTATTTTAAAATTTATTTTTTTATAACCCTATTCAACTTTTGAATTAATTTTATTTTTTTAAGACTAGTTAAATGTTTTTATCTAACAGATTGTTTAGTGTTCAGTAAAGTTAATTGCTAATAACAGTTTTGTATTCATAACTTTAATTGGAAAAAGTTTTATATAAAGCTTATTATAGAAATAAATATATTTACTAATTACAAAACAGTTAAGTTATATAGCATTTTCCATATGTTTTACATAAAAAGTCACATATTGAGGATTACTTCATATGAAAGAACTTTTTGAGTTTTATGCCTTTAATTTGAACAATAATAAAAATCAAATCATAATTATAGAAGAGATGACGATAAATATAAGTAAAAATCTTTAAATAATTATTATTGACCAAAGAAATCTAGTTCTTTGTTAACTTAGAAACTGTAGCATACGATTTTCGGGCCAATAGGAATGTGTTAACAAAAATTGTGTGTGTTATGACAATGTGTTAAAAAATTTTCAGACCATTATTTGTTTGTTACATTGAGAAAAAAATTATTTTTGGATATTTGTTTTGCCCGTATAAAGTGCTAATATTAATACATGAAATGTCTTGATACAAAAATTTTAAATTTTCTCTAACATAATTTTATAGTATAAAAACTTTTATAAAAATATTCATTGCAATAAATCTAAATGTTTCTAAATTAAACCTAACCAAAAAATTTTAAAAGCGGAATGATTTATGGAGATTGGTAGGACCTATATTTATCTGGGTTAGGGGCCGTTCAAAAAGTACGTACACAAAAATGGAGAAATTTTAAACCCCTCCCCCCCCTTCGTACATTACTGTACATAAGATCTTACTCCCCCCCTTAGAGTACGTACATTTTATTAGTCTACCCCCCTTTTTCATAAAAATTAAAATAATTATGTTTTAAATAAAATTAAATATTTACTTAAGGAGTGTGTAGGATGAAGTCAAATTTAAATTTGGTGTATGTTTATAAAGTACGTACTTTGTATAATACCTCCCCCCCTCCCCATCGTACATAATAGCAAATCCCCTCCCCCCCTTCGGGATGTACATACTTTTTGAACGGCCCCTTAGTACTTAATTTAATATGACATTGTTAAGCAAAATTCAAATGCAACTAATTATCAATAATTTTTTTAACATACACTTATAAATAAACCTTTTTATTAATTAAAAAAAAAGCCTTGGGAAATAGTCTAACTGAATATTTTGCAAGATTGGCCCCTGATGAGAAATTTGGTGCTTCCCTAGCTGTAAAATATAAAAAAATATTCTTCTATTGAGCCTACTTTGGCGAATACTGAAAAAAGCATTAATCAATACATAAATTTCTTAGAGCAATATGTTTTTATTTCATAATTTGTTGATAAAGTTAGTTAAAGAATTGGAGATCAGAGATAAATCGGAATGGAAAAATCTTCGAAGGAAGGTATTGGGCTGTCTGGCCAACTACAGTGAATTCGCGGTAACTCGAATCTGATAGGACTGACGAAAAACTTCGACATATCGGAAGTTCGACTTACCTTTAGTTTCGGTTTTGGACTTTCAAAATAGTGTCGGATTATTTAATTAATGCTTATTAATTACAAATTATTCTAAATGCTTACAATATTTAAGATCATTTTTCTGACAAGCCATTTACGATAAGACTGTTTGAAGCACTTTAGGATACCCTGGTCCATTGGCTGCAACTTTGCTGTTGTGTTTGGCGGGAGAAACTGCAAGTTTACTGCTTTCAAATTAGGTAGATCACTATGCGCTGTGCATTTATCCATAAAGAGTATCACTTTTCTTTTTTTAGCGAAGAATTTCCGATCCAATTTTCTTACATAGTCTTCAAATAAAACTGATGTCATCCAAAACTTTTTGTTAGACTTGTAATCCAAAGGATACGTTTTTACATTCTTGAAACATCGGGGATTTCGGTATTTTCCGATAACAAGTAAGGGCAATTTCTCTGTCCCAGACGCATTTCCTCCAACTAGGACAGTCAAACGTTCCTTGCTCATTTTACCCCCTGAGCAGTTTTCATCCTTAAACATCATAGTCTTATTTGGAAGACATTTAAAAAATAAACCCATTTCATCAATATTGAAAACATCATTTTAACTGTATCCTTGAAGTAAATTTGGTAACGTTTCATTTAACCACTGTTCACATACTTCAAGAGGGACAGCTTTAGCTTCTTCATGAAGAGTGCGAAAGACATTGTGTGTGTGTGGTGCAAAGGAAGGGGCAAGATATCGGCTCCTAGGTTTTTTTTTTCCTTGCTTTAAAAGATCCAAAAAAAATCGAGTTAAAGGGAGTAAAATTCGAGTAATCGAGAATAATTAATATGAAATTGAAGATAAAAGGTTCGGGACCTCATAAAAAATCGAGTTATCGTACTTCGAGTTATAGCGAATTGACTGTATAATGATGATAAAGTTAGTTCTTGTGGTAGAATGTCATGGATCAAACTATTAAATCATACAATTTAATAAATAATACACATTAGTAATTTAGAAAAAAAATATATGACAAGTAATTAATATAATAAAGTAACTTATCTTAAATTTCTTTGTTTATATAGATGGCAACTAAGCTTAGATTGGAAAATTTTTATTAAAAAGATATTTTATGCAATTATTTTATATGTTAGATATTACAAAAGTTTTATATATCTTGTGTTACTTAAAAAAGTTAATAAAACTTTCACATTTATTTTAAAAAGATTTTATAGTTACATGGGTATTGAAAAATAAAGAAAGGAATACTGTTTTAAATAATAGAGCACATTTGTATTGTATAAAACTTTTTATTATTATCAGATCTGAATAATATCACTGTAAACATGAATTTTAAAACAAGTATAAAGTATAGCTGGTAGAAAACTACAAATAATTTTAAAGACAATTACTTTTATCAAGAGAGAAATCAAATTATCAGAATATTCGTAATAAATACACAACTTTAAAAGAACATTTAAAAATTTTGATTAAATTACTATAATATGTTTGTAAGTAGTTTTATTACGGCACAGGATTACAAGTACGGGTCATTAGAAGTAAAGTAAAAGTTTCAAAGCATTTGATGTTAGAGACAGTGTATTATTAATTTCAAACATTTGTAATTATTAGTTTTCTATTTTGCAAAGCCATTCTTGCCCAAAATGGAACAAATCAACAATAATAAGAGACAGTTTTTTATTCACAGCATTGAAAAAGGGGAGAATTTAATCTCATTTCTTTGGTTTACATTGCACAGGAAGAAGCAAAATAACATTCATTTTCACATCAAATATAAAATTTAAGAAAAAAAAATTGCACAGTTCTGTAACAATTCTGTATATATATTTCTAGTACTCAACAGATTTATATTTTTTCATTACTACTTCTTTTTACAAATTTACAACACAAAAAAATCACTAGAATGAATGTACATAATCACACAATTGCAAGTTTTAACTTTGTATCAAGTTCAAAATAAAACAAATTTCTCAGGGAAAGGAAAACTTTTCATATCTGTCTCAATTTCTCTAGGTTAAATGAAAGAAAAATGTAATAGCCAGCATGGGAAGCTTTGGTTAGACATCTTGTTTGCCACAAGCTTATCTAGAGGTTATTAACCCAAGTAACATCTTGCAGAAATGATGCCACACTTGAGATATAAAAACTTTCATAAAAAATAAATGTTCCTTAACATATCAGATCACAACATAAAAGTTCTTATTTCGGCATAGTAGTTGCGTCTTCAGATTTATTAGTCCTTTCTTTGAATTTTTGTGGGTCAAACATAACTGGAGACTGCAAAAGAAGAAATAAATATAGATATTATATAATACATAGCAATTAGAGGGGTTACCACAAAAAAATTTAACTCAAGAAAAATCATGTCTTGTTTCCTTGTATCTTTTAAACATGCCAAGCAGACATTACATTTGAAATAACTTTGCCTTGTGATAAACTTTTCAATTTTTAACATACTGTAAAATAATTACGGTTAATATAATTAGCTACTTAAACCTCTAAAGAAACTTGTATCCTTTCATTATTATGATTATTTTTTATTGGCTCTGTGGTTACAGCACTAAGCTGTCTTGGTTTTATCCAGGATTTTATCCCTGGTGTAATGGCATCTTGATATCCAATTAGCTTTAGATTGAAGGGTATCAGCTTGCTCGAGAAGAAAAAGCAGCCGACACACAGTGCTAACCAAATCGCCACTATCATGTCGTTGGTTTCAAAATTGTGGAGCCTTAACTTTCTAATTTCCTTTGGCAGTTATGGGAATGAATTAAGTTGGAACTTTAAAGCATAAAATCAGCAAGGATTTGTCATCCTCATGCAAAAAGTTCAATTATTGCTAAGATCTTTTCAATAGGTAGATAGTGTCAAGACAAATCAAACCCCCAAAATTTTAAAAAAATCAGGAGATTGGCTTATACATTGGTAATAAAGTTGATATTCGTTTATCACGGAACATTGATGAATCATAAGCAATGAAAGGGGTATTAATAACTGAAAGCGGTATTAATTTACCCCTTTCAAAAACTATTTTTATTACTTTATATACAATTAATTTTGCATTTTCTCTCATATTTTTTTTTTACATACAAGTTCAGAAAAATAATTTTGCTTTTTTTTTCTAATTTTTTTTTTACATAAAAGTTTAGAAAAATAATTTTGCTTTTTTTTGAGGGGGTCCTTCATAGTATCTTAAATTGAGAGAAAATGTATCATATCCAGAGAGAACAATGTGAAATTTTTTTAATTTTTAGAAATTTTCATATTTGGTTGCTTTTAGCAGTTGATTTATACACTAAACATAATAGAAATTCGCTTGACTTATACAACGGGATATAGGGTAGTTTGAATTATGAAATTTTTTTTTTGTATTAAAAATTATATTCCCCATCATACAAATAAGTCTTAATATAGTTAGTTCAAATCTTATTTGATTTAAAGAAAAAGTCAAATAAATAAAATACATCTTTTTTTGTATATAATCATGCACAATTGATTTAGTTATTCAATTGATAATCAAAGGAGTAGGGAAGGATATAACATTCTTAGGAAGATCAACTTATTGATAGAAAACAAACAAACATTGTTTTTGTTGTACTATAGAATAAACGAAATAAAAGAGACGAAACATCTTAATAACTTCTGATCTATTGGTCAAATTTTAACATAGAAAGATATGATTGTGCTGGTTTGAGGATGGACTTTAAATACTCAAATTAATTAGCGCCAATGATATTTTAAATTAAATAATCTACCACAAAATTGTACCTTTTCTGAATAACCATATCTTTTTTTTTCCCTTCATGGATTTGAATTCTTCCCCCACGAAATATGGGGCTGGCTGGAATCACAGAAAATATTGCCCAATAATTTTGCCACAAGGACGGTCAAAAGTTTGGATTCCTTAATTTAAATTTTACTTTTTCCTTACATTGTGATATTTCTTGCACTATTTAAACAAATCACAAACTTCTTGCATGCAGTTGTAAAACTTATTCATCTAACGAAAAATATGAAAAATGAAATTAACATTGAGGGGATCAAACTTTCCACTGCTTTCGCGACCCTACTGTTGTAACCGCATTTTTAAGATTGCAGATACGCCACATATTTTGAGGGTCAGGGGTTTATTATGAGAAAGTAAATTTTTTGGTATCAATTTACATAACTTAAAATGTCATCAGCACAAATTTAGATCAACAGTTATTAATGTGTTCACTTTTTTATTTTGTGCATTGTAATCCCAGACCTGAGTGGTTTGGGTAAACAATAATACGTTAATATGAATTATCCCAAATTTTTCTTCATGTTATATACCATCATCAATTTTTTGGTATACATTAAATCCTTCTATTTTATTTGGAATGAGGTAACTTCATCGAGGGAAATGAAGAAAAAAAATTCAAAAGTAAAGGTTGAAAATAAGATATTTACTTGGCATATAATTTCTTGAAAATGTTGGTGTATATGAGCATAATCCATTGGCTGGTTGTGACTAAGAGGAGAATTGGCAAGATTTAAAAGAGATTCTCTACTATACCGCATCTTTTTGTAAGTTGGTGGTGGGATTGGCATCATTTCAGTGTCTACTGGCGAGAATACCTAAAAAGAACATTGAAAATTTCATTAACATTACCACAAAAAATAAGAGAAAGCATACTTAATTTAGCAAAGCTAGACTAATAACTTTAAAATGAAACAAAATGTACCATAATCTCATTTTTGAAATTACAGTTTGCATTCTTAATTTAGCAAAGCTAGACTAATAACTTTAAAATGAAACAAAATGTACCATAATCTCATTTTTGAAATTACAGTTTAATTGTCACACGAATTTCCCTAAAATTTTTTTTTTTATCTTCTCGAAATTTTGTAATGTTTTTCTCCAGACAAATCTCTATTTTCTCTTCCAACACCCTATGCTAAAAGTCAAGGCCACCAAATATGTCCATCTTATTATAAGGGGGGCTTTTTATTAAAAGAAACCGTGTATCGGGGGGGGGGACGAAACACCTTCAATGGCCAGGAAAAAATGACAATTTTCGTGAGAAATCTGAATTTGTAAGTGTGAAGGCAATGGGGTGTCCCCCCAGCTCAATGTCCAGCTGTCTCCAGACTTGTATGCTTGTTTAACTTCTAGTTAATTAGTTGTGAAAGGTTTGGAAGGAAAACGTTTTCCTAATTTGTCAAATAGATTTAATTTATATTGTAAACTGACAAGAAAGAATAAAAAACACACATACCTCCCACAGAGGATGCCACCCATGATGAGGAATCCCTGTAATGAATACTAAAAAAAAGGAGATTCCTCTACCTTGAGTGACAACTAATTTAAACCATTCAAACAATTTAAGATTCAATACACCCCGCTCTGTTCTGAAAAATAAAAACAGATAAATGATGGGTGTTTAAAGATGTAAGCCATTCATGTCTTCACATTTAAGAAATAAAAATGAAGAATAAAGCATATGTATAGGAATTAGGATTTATGTAAAAGAATAGAGCATAGATGAAAAACTAATAATAAAAAATTTATGTTACCAATTACAAAAATCAGGGAAATGTAATAAAAACTGTCTGAAAAAAAATTTTTTTTTTAATTGAATATTTGTAAGTCACTCTAAATTGAAAGAAGAGCAAAAGAAAAGAAGTTTTACTCCTAATTTATTTTTAAGTGTTAGTTTTTTAAGGCAAGCCTTATGAGTACTTTTCTTTTGGCAAAACTTTGAACTAAAACATTGAAATAGTAGCTAAGGTGAATGAATTAACATTTTATGAAATTAGAATAAAGTTTAGGGACTATATGCATATTGAGCGCAGTACTGACCACATTGCCAAAATTATGCAGTAGGTTACGAAATTGTGGAGAATTAGCCTCTACGACCCCTTTGGCCCACAACGGGCTGCTGCGGGAAGGCTTTCCCCCCCTTTTTTTATTTGTATATGCATATTTTTTATAAGTACATTATATATTGTTAAAACAAATTGAACTTTATGTTTGAATCATATGTATGAAGAATTTACATTTAAATACAGAAATATTTTTTTAAAAATGAAAATTGTTAATTTTTTAATCTAAGATTTTTCATAATTTTATATCTACTTTCATGATATTAAAAAAAATATCTATTTATAAATTCATTACAAATTTTAATATTAGAAGCTGCTATGAATTAATTTTTACAAATGTTTATAATATTAGTTCTAAGCATTTGCCAATGCCATCTAGTGTATGTATTTATAATCAGAATGTAGCGAAAGAATGACAAAGTTCTTTGTTTTGCTTCTAACGAGCCTGTAGTGTAAACTGCTGTGTTGAACGGAACAGAGATATGCGAGGTCTGTTTCCTACCATGTGTTAAAAATAAATATGTTTGAGTCTATGTGAGTACTGAAATAAAATATGAGCTATCGATGTGTGCGCTAAGAGAGAAAAATACAATCTTAATGTCTTAAATTTAATTTAAGTAAAAGAAAGGCTTGTTTAATATAATGTAGAAAAAAAAAACTATTTATTTAAGTAGTATTGATGATAAGAAAAATAAATGATATTACCCCTGGATGAGTTTTTCTAAGATAGTATTAACCAAATAAACAGTTTTATTGTCTAAATTATAAATTAGAACATACTCACAATAAATTTGTAAGCAAGCTAATACTGTAAGAACTTCAGAACTGACTGTGAATTTCCCTGAGAATTATAGGCTTATTCAGTGTTTTTTACATATTCTCTAAGAATTTCGTAGTTTCCAAAGAGACTGACCATACTCATTTGACAATTTTGCAGGATGCAAAACATACTATCATTGAATTTAGCTCCAAAATAAGTGAATGAAACAACAGCATAGCTGCCAACTTGTACAGTAGTTAGAAAAAATTTTTAAACACAATATTAAAAGTAAGAAGAATTTTTTAAAAACTACACCATTTTGACAACTATTAAAATCATAATTGCTGAACTAAAAGATCTTATATACATATGTTTGGATAACTGATCTGTTACAGCGAGTAAAACAATATATTTTTTTTAAATACTAAAATTAATAAATTAAAAACCTCAATGTTGCTACTATGAAGGAAAATTTTCATCGACAACTGTACAAGGTGGAAGCTATGTGACAGACATTAAATTTTAATAGAATTACCTGGTCATTTATTGGAGAATACATTTCACCATAGCCTTTCCCAAAATCATTTGGAACAGACGATCTTCTCATTAGTTGTCCTAAAGGAATCAAAAGATTTATTTAGGAATTACTTGCCAGCAATTTTTTTTAACTTCTATACATTTCATGAACTTAAAAAATCAAGAACTATTGCTGCAATCAGAAATACTCTTTTATGAGTGACACAAGATAACTGCAGGGGAATTTTTAATTCAGAAAGAAAAATAGGTTTGAATTTAATAAAGTTTTTTAAAATTACTATTATTAAATGACAACAACATTTGCATACCCAAAAAATTTTTCTGAATGAGTCATGGCTCCTAAGTAGAATCCTAATTACATTATATATAGGGCGACAATTGTCGTTATATCTTATACGAATGTCACTAAAATAATATGCTATGGAGACAAATTTGTAGTCTTGAAATATGTTAGGATTTTACCAAATAGTAATGAAAATAAGTTTTTTTTTTCGCACCTAATTCAATGCCTTTAAAAAAAAAATTTTTGTACTAATTTAATTGTTCTATGCAAGGAATGGAATTCAAATGGAAAAACAGAAAGTGTCTGGAAAAAAAAAATTTAAATTTACCTGTCCTGCTGTGTTTTGCATTTATGCACTGCCAGTAATTATCCATAAAATAATATTTTTTGCTCCTTTAGAATTGACTTTATTTAAAATTGTATTATTTTTAGATAATTAATATTTCTCTATTCATGAAATAAATATTTCTAGAATAGTGAACTAAATTTTTAGGCAGGGCTAGGCTCCTCTCATCTACTCACAAAGCGCATTAAAAAAATTCCATAAATAGTTTCATAGTTCAAAACCACTCTAATTATGCTCTGCTTAAGTTCACAGGAAGAGATACAACAGCTAGTACTACTTAGATTCTAAATAATGACAGTTAATTAGAAGTGTTTATTTTCACAGAACTAATGTAGTTGTGGTCAATTTAAGAAGGTGTTTTGAATAGTAAACAAAAGACCTATCTTTGAATTGCTTGAAACTTTTGAAACACTGGTATTGCTATTTGATTCCCCAAATTCCAATCATTAAAATAAAAGTTATTCAGCATATTTCTTTAGAGTGTTTTATTTGACATTCATTATTTTGAATGCCATTAAAAGAATCTTCTTTCCTTTATTTTAAGAGTCCGTTCCCTACACTTTCTGAGCACACTTTTATAGCTATGCCAATAACCACAAAACTTTGAAATTATTATACTATTTTAAGCATATTATGATGCACAATTTTTATAAAAAAAAGTAAAAACAAAAAGCTTAAAATTAATTTGAAATTAATGAAAATTTAAAAAAATGTTTTTAACCGCTTAAGGAAGTGGTTTTAAGCTATATTTATTCTACAGAAATGTAGAAAGTTTAATGCAAATATAATTGCATTGAGTTTTTTTCTTTCTTCCCCAATGCCCACCCAATTAATACTCGTCATTCAGGTATCAGTAGAGAAGATTTGTTGGTCACTCCTTCAGACGAACCATATTAGGTGGGCCAGCATTGCTCTCAGACTAAGGACAGATAGTACAGGGTATGAAAGAGCATTCATGCCTTGTCTGGGATTGAAACCCAGAACCTTTCTGATGTGAAGTCAGCTACCTAACAACTCCACAGTTTAGTGGGCAACTTAAAGTGACTTAGAATAATTATTATTCTACATATAAACTTACCATGAACATTGGAAGATTCCAAAGAAACAGTTCTACGTTTGGCTTCGGTAAAGACTGATGTATCTTGAGTATACTGATTATCCTAAAATCAAAAACTTTAATATAGGTTGTGAATCAAATTACGAAAGTTATTTATTTTCAGAAAATACATAAAAATAGTGACACTACAAATGTACTGTAACTTTGCTGTGATACGTATTATTGTTTCTAATAACATTTGGACAAGCTAAGCTCGCCAGCTATTGGCCTTTTGTGAATTAAGTCAAGAAAGTGAGCCTTTTGTTTGACAAGAAAGCACCACAAGGGTGAAAGTAAGTCTTAGCTCAGAGCCCCACAGTTAGATGGTAGCAACAGTATCCCTGAGGCTTCAACTTAGACATAGATCTAAAGAGGAAGGAAATTTTCTCCAAATCCCTGTACCAGGGTTGCCACTCAAATTTGAAAAAAAAATTCCTTGTGTTTTCCCTGTACATATTGTACACAATATATTAAGAGGAAACAACAATTACTGCGCTCTTGAGTGAGCTATATTGGACTAACTATATTTATTAGTTTTAATTACTGGAAAAACAGCTGAACATACTTAATTAATGCTATAGTGAATTAAATAGTTTAGTATAGCTGAAATATTATGATTAAATATTCCATAGATTACGCTTTGAGTGGTCACCATTTTTTAAAAGATAAAATAAGAAACAAAATTCCCTGTATTTTCCCAGTTTGTAAAGAAAAAAATCGAAATTCCCTGTTATTTTAGGTGATTTTTAAATTCCCTGTATTTTCCAGGTCTTCCCTGTTCTCCCTGTGGAGTGGCAACCCTGTGTACACATGGTACAGTTCAGAGATCGATCCATACCTGCCAACATTGGAGAAATAAAATAACTGCAATTTTACTACAGACATTGTTTAGACAACGAGTAAAGTTTTGATACATCATGCATAATCATGTAAGTCAAAAAGAGAAATTTGAAATAATATAAGAACTTACATTTGGCGAAGTAAAAAATATGTATATGCATCTAAATCCAAAGAATATTTTTTTAAACCATTATCTATAATTACTTAAACTTTTAACACTCAACATACGGCAATGCTGGTTATAGTACTGTCTGTTGAGGAATAAGAGAAGTATTTTTGCCATCAGCGGATATTTTATCGCCATTTTTTTAAAACCAAATATGAAGAAATTTGAGAATGTACGGGTAAGCAGGAGATAATGGTAAAATACAGGAGTTTTCGTTAAAAAACAGGAGACTTGGTAGGTATGTCGATCACTCAAATTTTAGGAGCACTGAATCGAAAATACTCGGTGGGTCTTGGCCGATTGTAACTCTGGGCTAACACAGCTACATACAAGTTCATCCATTAAGTTATACTAAAAACAAGCACAAAATTCAAAAACTGATAAAAAAAAAGTATATACGATTATTACTATGTGTAATTTAAAAAGAAATTATTACAAAATACATTTAATTTGCATGAAATACAATATGTCAGATAAGATGGATTGACTACTGCTATAAATTCCTTTAGTATAGCACAAAAAATATTTTTTGATTTGTATTACCATATCTATTCTTTTGTCATCCTTCACAAAATCATCATCTGATGAGCTAAAAGGAGATACAGAATCTCTTTTTGGAGGATAACTTGTCCACCCAGTTGAGTACATATTATCTATATTACTTTTCAGAGATGATTGCTTTTGAAGTCCAAGCCTACATTAAAAAAAAAGATCATACAATTGCTATATTTAAATGCTATCAATATGTTAAACTGAATATGATTTATAACTTAATAGGTATTTAAATTATGATTACATAATTTTTGAGAAGAAACAGGAACAATTACTCCCTATAAATGTGAGTTATGTTTTTATCTTTATTAATAGAAAGAATACATTTTTAGATTGTCCGTTAAGAAATAAATGGCAACTATTTTAATCAAAATTATTATACAGTCTATAAACAATTATGCTAATTAATACAATGGTAAGTATGTCAAGCCCATCAACAATTATTTATTGCTGAAGGATTATTTTCCTAAATTATTGTCGTTCCAGATTATGGCAGAATTTTACAGGGTTCATTCGAAAAGTAATGCCAGTGAGTTGACTAAAAATTATTGACAACACATTAAAAGTTTCCAAAATAAGATTCTCATGCATCAATACATTGCTTGCAGTGAGATTTCTAAACATCAAAACCACCACCCTATTTCAGAATGTGGTTGGCTCAGGGATAAGCATTGTTATTCCTCTACTCTAAAAGATGTCATTTCATTGGAGTTTTTAATTGCAGAAACTTAAAGACCTAGACTGTATAGTGAATCAGCCATACAGCACAATTTTGAGAGAGGTACTTTTGGTAACATTTAATATTTATACTATCAAATGAAAATTGAAACAAGTCTGAGTTCAGTTACTTCTATTATACTTTTATCAACATGACCACTAATGATCTTCTAGAAAAACTTTAATAGGTAAAAGCTAAAGATTTAAAAAAAAAAAAAAAAAAACAAAAATAAACTATANAAAAAAAAAAAAAAAAAAAAAAACCATAATGTCATCATGAAAATACTCAATTATTGAGATAATTTTATTTTAAATCTTAACAAATATCAAAGTTATTTTAATAAAATAATAACTATACCTTAGTCTGTTTCTGTCAGGTGATGATTGACGATTCAGAGAAGAGTAGCTTTCATGCTGCTAATGTTTAAATATAACATAAGTTCAGCTATTTATGTTCCTCACAAATAATTTACAAAATGTTGTAGATATTTTTAAATTTTTGCTATAAATTACAAAGTAGGTAAATTAAGTTTCATTTATAAGCTAAATTTTAAAGAAAAAGAACTCAAATAAAAAAACACAAAATATTTGCTAAACAAGTTAACAAAAAACTTTATTATGATAATGATGAAAAAAATTAAATCTAGTGAATTATACAGAATGATAACAAATACTTGCAAAATAACTTTTTTACAAATAGTCTGTTTCACACCTTTTCATTTATTTCAGTTTGGCCGGCAAAGTATTCCATCAAAACCAGTTTAGCTGTCTAAAAAATAAAAAAAAAAAATCTTTCAATAAATAAGTTTTTACAAATAAGACACTAAAAAAATTTTAAAACACACTCCTAGAACAACATTTTGGATAGTGTTAATTAAGTTGAAACAGAATTTCCTTTCACTGTAACAACCCTGACTAAATTTGCGTTAAAAAAGGCAGCATATTTTGAAAAATTACGATATGTTTTTAGGGTTACTTTACAGTTGATAAAAAATATAATATATTTCTTTACATTGTAGGAAGAAGTTTTCAATATAATGTATAATTTTTTAAGAAGAGGCATTTACTAAGACAGATTATTTGGTATGGAGACAAGTTAGAGCTATCAAAGTGAAAGAAGCTAGACTGATCATCATTTTAAGAACTGTCTGATTACGAAATATTGCATACCTGCCAGTATTCGAGAAATAAAATTACGGAGATTTTACTAGCGACATTTTTTAGGCTACGAGTAAAGTTCTGATACATAAGTCAAAAAGAGAAATTCATATTTGGAAATAATATAAGCACTTAATATAAGCGAAGTAAAAAATATGTATACAAATCTTCTAACTATTTTATTTTATTGTTAAACAGCAGACCCGATTTCGGATTTATGTCTACTAATGTTCAACTCCGCAGCCTTATAATTTTGAACCTAATCCAGAAGACAAGCGAACTCCTGGATCAAGTATTAAGTGTAATTAGCCTTTGTGGAGGACTTTCTGATAGAACTAACTTGCATTTGAGTTACATGGAGAGGAAAACAGCAAGGAGACTCTAACCCGTGATCCCAGTACCACTGATGATATTTTACATTTTTACATCAGCACCGTGCTCAGCGCAAGCTGGATGCGGAATTCGTATCGACAAGTCATCGCCGTGATTCGAGTCCAGTTCACTTCATTGGAGGGCGAACGCTCCATCTCCTGAGCCACCACGGTTCAACTTAAACTATTAACACTCAACATACTTCAGTATTGGCGATAGCACTATTGGTTGAGGAATAAGAGAAGTACTTTTTGCCATCAGTAGATATTTTTGTCACAAATTTTTTTGAAACAATTTCTGCAATAAATACAGAGAAATTTGAGAATATATGGGTACAACAGGAGACAGTCATAAAATACAGCAGTGTTCGTTGAAAAACAGGAGACTTGGCAGGTATGATAGTGACGTCAGCACCTGATTTGCTGTAAGCAAATCAAAATCTTTTTTTAAATCAATAAATTTCTATAACTTTGCTTTGAAAATCCTTTTATCCCCTCAATACTATAGCAAAGCCCTTTGTATGAGAATAGAAAATAAGCTAAAGGTGTACTTATTACACCTTTATAGAAACTAATTAAAAAAAAAACTTACTTTGTACAAGAATCATGGTAATGGATTATAAAAACGTGCATATATATATCGCAACATCGAACTTTTAAGTCGTGTAAATCCGAATTACGATGCATAATCTTTAGGTCGCGTGAATATGTCTTACAATACACAGTTTTTAAATCATGTGCAAATACTAATACCTAAATCAATGTTTGATATTACAACCCGATTCTGATTTTCAAATTGCAACATTGAATTTTTTAAATCACTTGTACACGAATCGCAACATGTAACTTTTAAACCAGGTAAATAAAAAAAAAATCAATGATTGATATTAAAATTGGGTGAGTAAGAATCGTGATATTAGCAGATTTTAGAGCAGTTCTAAATATTCAAAATGGTGAAAATTCGCTGAACCAAAAGAATCAAATTGGCAGTAGAATCATAGGTATGTAAACATCTCTTTAATGAGATTTAGCAAATGTTTCAAAATGCTGATATAAGAAATGTAGATATTCTTTAATTTTTTATAGAAAATAATAATTACATGAACTATTTTCAATGCATTAAGTAATTTCAATTTGGGCATAGCTTTATTCTAGCAATTTAGCCCTTATTATTTCAAACAAAATAAATTTAAGTAATAATAAAACTTACTTTCAAAAGTTCAGCATTAGTTCCAGTTAAGCGAATCAAATCTTGATCAATTTGCACAGAAACACTATGTTCTCTTAAAGAAGCATCACTTAAACTGTAACTGTGTTGAAGGTTTCTTTTCATAAACATTTGATTATCAACTGAAGAATATGAATTATTATACTCTATAGAATCCTTAGTATTATCCAATACAGACATGTCAGAGTTTTCCTAAAGAAATATGACAAAATGATAATTGTTGAAATACAAATCCAATATTTAATTAAACTTTTAGATTATTTTATAAATGAGACATTAATAATAAATATGCATTTAAAATTCTCCCTAGATTGCAACAGGGTTCCCACTCAATTTCAAAAAAAAAAAAAAAAAAAAAAAAATAAAAAAAAAAAAAAAAAAATNGGTATATTAGGTAAATTTTAATGAAAATCCATACCATATTTTATCTATACCATGAAATTTTTCATCAGAAATATTTTTTTATTTTTATTTGTAATGTCAAGTATTAGATTTTATGAGCAAAAACATATATTAGAATGAGAATGGAAACATGAAAAAGTTTCACTTAAAAGCTCAGCTCAGTGGTTAAAAATATTTTAGTATTAAAGCATTTTAAATTTATGACTATCATAATAGCACTCACATTTCATTAAAAATATAAAACAATCTAAGTTGGATTGATCATAATTTAGCCAGAATAGGATATATTGTGCTTAACTTAAACAATATTGTAAAATTAAAATCAGCATTACAAACTTAAGTGAAATAAAAGTTTATTAATTAATAATTGATTACAGAGCTGCCAACTTTCTACACTTTTTGGGAAAATTTCTAGTGGTAGTTAAGTTTATGTTTCCATGGATTATCCTTTGTTTTTTTATAAGTTATTTTCTCCACTACTAGATGTAAATGATTCAAAAGTTCAAATGATACAGAGCTTTTTAGTTTTTTTAAAAAAAATACACCACATTTAAATGTTCAAATTAGGTATTAATCTAATTTAATGATTAATTATATATAGAGAGAGCAATAAAAGTATTAAGAATATTTAAGACAAACTAACAAAAAAACTTTTAACGTTTAAATTTATTTCATTAAAAGTATTTAGTTTTAAAAGGAAATAACTTACTCGAATAGGAGAAGCATTTCTACGAATAGTATCTTCTACCAAAAGTTTTGCATGCCTAAAATAAATTATTTATTTCAAATTGCTGATTATTATAATATATTTGGTATATATTTTTAAAAACTTACCCAATAGCTTCTTCATGAGGTCCTGTAATCTGCACAAGTCTATCCCGAGCTCCAGGATTTACTAAAATAACAATGCAGGAAATTTTTTTTTTTATAGTTTTAAAACGTTTTAATGTCAGCTACATATTAAATAATTTGAACTGTAAGAATTTTTCTACAAATAACAGCAGAATCCTAGTAATCTAAACCTTTGTATTTCAAACAGCCACAAAATATAGGTTCACAAGATTTATGTTATGATTATTACATTTTGTTTCACTTCAATTTCTTTCATTAAAAATATATATTCTGTGAACACATTCTGCTTAAAGAATGTACAGATATTATTAATGTCAAAAGTAAGAAATTAAAATGCAATTTGATCTTATATTAAGAGACAAAAATAAGTCTTGAAGTTAAATATTAATGTAATTTAAATTTGATTGATTTGATAACTAATGTAATTTAAACAAAATAAATGTTTAGAAAATAAGTGTTTAGAATAAAAAAAATTAAAAATTAAAGGAAAAATTGCATATTGTAAACTTTTTATGATTATCACACAAAGTACAGTAATGTTCACACAATAATCATTTTTGTTTGTTTTTTGATACATGTTTTTTTGTTTTTATAAAGACAAAGTATTTTTTGAAAAGTTTTAAATGCACAAAATTCTATTTAACTGTAATGAATTATTTAGTTTGGCTTGGACTGAATTAAATAAAATAAATGAAGAGGAAAAAAAGAAAATGAAAGTGAACCAAGTGATCCTGTGACAAAATTGATTAATTTATGCAATTAAATAAATAAAAAATAAACAGGAACATTATTTAGAAATAAAAGAACAGAGTTTTATCATAAAAATAATTATTTTGCAATAATGTAACATAAAATTTTAGAGTCACTTTTGCAAAGTGCTTTTCACACACAGCGTAAAAATAAAATCATTGCAGAAAGAGAACTTAACATAATTTCAATTCAGTCAATATATGTAACTTACAATTGATAAATACAGTATTTGTTGAAATAGTGTTATAAACTAATATAAATAACAGTTAGAAAAATTTAGTAAAATTATTATAAGATTTTAATTATTTGAAATTTGATTATTATTATTTTTTTAGCGAACTAAAGCATACACTGGAAAAATATTAGTGTTTTAAGCACACTATAATTCACACAATGTTTGTTTTAAAAAAATAATAATAAAATAAAAAAAGCTGCAGAAAGAAATATACATTATTTTTTTCACATTCTACTTATTTGGTATTAGGTTTTACAGTATTAAATAGGGAAAAATCTTATAAATTTATTTCTCATGCTCATTTAGTATAAAGCCTTTGTTAAGCCAATTTGGCATGCATTACATGCAAATGAATATCTCACCTCGTTGGAAAGATATTACAGTATCACTCAATTCTTCTATCATGTGAACACGACGTCCTTTGATACCCATCACTTTAAAAAACAGTCATTATTAAACTTTTTAAGTGTCTGAATGCAGTTCAGTTTTCTTATATTTTTTAGAATACCAAAGTTATTCACATTTTTTGTAACTGAAACATAATTAATTTTAGAAAAAGTTAAAATACAAAAATTAATAATACAAAAATTACCTTTTCCAGAATCAGAATTCCTAATTAATATTTCATCTTTAAAGACATTTTTGCCAGAAATCCTAAATGTAAAAATACACATTTAAGGTGATTAAAACAAAAATGTAATAAAAATACATAAAGCTATATTACAGAATTTAAAAATAGCTTAATTAGAAATACCTTCACATTTTTTCAATAGCAAATTAAACACCAGTTAAAAATAACAAGAAAACAAAACTGTAGAAATGTGTTTATATCATTGCTGAGTTCACCTCTTTTTTTAAATTATCCATAGTAGTACCGTATATTTCAGTGTATAAGTAGACCATTGAAAAGAAAAGGGGATAAAAAAAAAAAACAAATATGGAAATTTCTAATATTATTAGCTTGGAATGAATATGGAAAAAATATAATCTTACAAAAACAGGAAATATCTGCTCAGCTCCTTTGACGTCATGTGGCAAATGAGACTAGATACAAGGCAAAATGTGCACTCAAATGTTATTAAATTCTTTTTTAGAAAATGTAAAATGGGGTGAAGACCATTTTTTTGGGGATTCAGAAGATGTGAATAAAGTTGAATCCATGGCAGAGTGGGATCGGTATGCACTGCTATATAATTGAATTTTTAAATTTGTAGCTTTACGGTACATTTTAAAATTTTTCATTTCGTTAAATATTTCAAAATACTCTTGAATCTTAACTTTCTTATTCCAAATTTTTTGAACTTAATTTAAAGCAGTTTTTCTTTCAAAAAAAAATCTTTACAAGTAAACAAATAAGATGTGAGAAAATGGCAACATAATTGTATATAACGTATTAAAATAGTTTTTAAATGGGTAAATTAAATACAAAATTATTCATATATAACACATGCTAAATAAAGCATTGATATTTTGTGATCAACGAATGTCTGATTCTATTACCGGTGAATAAGTCTACCTTTTTGATTTTTTCAAATTTTAGTGGTTTGAGAATTCAATTATAAACTAAGATAAATGGTATTTTTAAATGCTATATAAAAATTTAACTACTAGACTATAAATTACATTTAAAAGAATACAAAAAAAATTATATAATAGCACAAAATTTTCTTTTAAATATCTCTAAATTTTTTTGGTAATAAAACATTTTAGGAATCAGTATTGAAAACAATCTATTCCATAATAGTTAGTACTGCCCCCCCCCACTCTTTTGTAACCATACCTAGCACAGCAACTAAGTTACTAATCTTATCACATAGTAAAATGTTGTTTCTAGCATATGAAAGAACACAGAAAACAATTTAAAAAACTTCTGTCAAATATTTAAAAAAAATTAAAATAAACATTTTTTCGCTATAAAATAATTAGCTGAATGAATATTGCTTTTTAACAATTAAACCAATTAAATCAAGAATTAATCAATAACTTATACTGGACATATTTTAAAAAAGTTGATTTTAAGTAATTTTAGTAAAATCAAGATAAAGATTTTGTCTTTCCGGATTTGAATGTCTGAGTTTTTATTTTTTATAAAACCTCATTTACTTTATTTTTTTTTTATCCTGATGATCAGTGGCGTATGCAGAATTCTTTCAAGGGGGGTGTTCATAATTTTCTGAAACTACTAAAAGAAATTCGAGTCTGTAATAAAGCACTATTATTTCCCTAATTTAGACAGCTAGACAATTTTGACTTTTCATTTAGACAACATTGTTTGGTTAAATTTTGATTTGATTTTTTAAGTTTAAGAACATAATGTAATATCTTCTGAAAAAAGTCCAATGTCATATGGGTGGGAAGTAACACTTTGAGGGCCACTTTCACATTCATCAGATTTTGTTATGCTAGAAACGTTTTCTTCAACGGAAGTATCACATTTCTGTACAACAGAAAAACTTACATTGGTACTAGATGCTGTCACCTCACTAATTTCAGGTCGTGATTTTTTCTCAAAATAATTAAAAATTGTTAAATTTTTACGTTTTGACATCCTAAAGATCAAGAACAGTAAATATATATACTGGCACAGAAATAAATGCTATGCTCAGGGCCGGCGCTTACGCGGGGACCTAGGCCATTCAAATTTTTGGGGCCCTTCAAATAAGTTGTTTTTCTCGTATATTTTTTATTTATTCAAATATAAAAGTATTTATATATCTTTTCATTTCAGAAAGCATGTTTAAAATTAAAATAAATAATAATAAATTGAATTTTACTTTATTTTGTTATTAGAACTAAATTTTAATCACAACATTTTGAAAAAATTTTAATATATATTTAAAATTGATTTTTTTAAAAACAATCATTGTTTTTCTTAATTTTTTAAAATTTATTTTCAAAAAAATGCATTTTAAAGGGGTCCCTAATTATTTGATCTTACACCATCCAATGTACTCCGTTCCCCCTTTTATATAATTTTTCACCGCATCTCCAAAATTCTCGAATTGTCTCAAAGACGACAGCACGTCTAGGATTACAGAATCACAGAGTAAAGATCTCGCGAATGACAGCCAGTCTCGAAAACTATACCGTCAGGACAGAAAGGAACCAGTCCGTAACAATATCATGCGAATTTGGTTTCAAAAGTACAACTCTATTATAGTAAATGTTTTTTCAATATTCTGAGAAATACCGTGACAAAAAAAGTAGGCATAAGGCAGATAAAAATATATTGTCTTAAAAAATAATAGCTCGCATAATTTCTACTAAAATTGCCATTTTGTCTGAGCTCAAGGGGGGGTGTTTAAACTCCTAAACCCCTCCCTTGCGTACGCCGCTGCTGATGATACCACAAAATAAGTGCTATGAACATTAATTAATTCATGTTTTGTTGTCTGCATTTCAATGAAAAAAGATATTTTAATATGAAAAGGCATATCCTTAAAAATCTTTTTAATTATGATACAACATAAAAAATTTCGTACAATTAAACAAACAATGGAAAAATACTATGACAAAATAAGTAAAAAATTATTAAACTCTACAAAAGTAATGATAACTTTAAAAAGTTTGGTAGTAATTTAATTATTAAAAGTCCTTTAGGATTTTTTTTATAGCTTTTAAAAGAAGAATAAAGATAAAATTTATTTAAAAGAATAATGAAGATAAATTTTTGTTAAAGCAATGGATAATAAAAACAATATAAGATGATTGTGAAAATATTAAAATTAAAAAGAAAAATACTTAGTAGGTTTGGCAAATTTTCCAGATGATCTGAGTATTTCTCCTGGTGCCAATGGAAGTGTATTGGCAGGTGAAGAAGTTTGGTTGTGTAAGGCAAAAGGAACTGAGGTCATAGATGAAGATGTAGAAAGAGTGAGATCTTGAATACCTTGCTAAAAGGTAAATTTTTATTAGGCTAAGTTATGGTGTTAACATTTTATATAAAAGCTTTAAAGTAATATGAATTCTTTTAAGTGCTGTAACAGTTTCCATTCGCAAAAATTAACAAAACAAAGAAAATGAGGCACTTAAAGCTTCCATAACAATTATAAGCTTTCATAAATTCATAAACTCAATTTTGAATAAAATTGAGTATATGATGACAAAAGTCACACCCAGTAAAAAAACCGGTTTCTGGGGAAGGTTTTGTGGGAATAGTTGAAGTTGAGCATTTTTCTTATTATGTATACCGATTTAATTTATTAAAATGTTTAAACAAACAAATAATCATAGTCTTTTATTATATAGATGAAAAGTAAATTTAAGTATAGAAATAATTAATAATTTACTCATTCATTTAAACACATAAAAAAATGCTGTTAAGAAATATTCAAATTTAATTAGATTAAAAAAGTGCTTCACTAATTTAAAAGAATTTTAAACTAATAAGTTATGAAAAATATATATCAAATTAATCTTTAAAATGCTCATAATTTTTTATTTCAAATGAAAAGAAATGCTGTTAAGTAATGCTTAAATGCAATTAGATTAAATAAATGTTAAACTAATAAGTTAAAAAATAAATCCCACCAATCTTTTGTTTCTTAAGGTCTTTTTTATTTTAAATTAAAGCAAATGATGTATAAGTGTCAGATTGAATCTCCCCCATAAACAAAATTCAAGACTTGCAATTAATTTTCATTTATTATTTTCTTTTTCAAATTAGATGACAGATATAAATATCTTTAATGGATAATAAAAATGGTTTACCAGAACTCGATGCATTTTGTTTTGTGATCATAGCATACACAAATATTGCTGTTGTACAATTTTTATAAAAACAATTATTAATCAAGTAGCTTTAATTAAATTATGAAACTGTTTGAGAAAATTTTTGATACGCTCAAGTATAGATATTTTTCAAATATATAAATATACACAAGCATATGATTTTTTAAAAATGTTTTCCGTCGTTAAACTCTTTGAAAAAATACCTTTTTAAAACCACTAGCAAATTAAAGAAAAATTTAAAATTATACCTCCACCATTGTATAACCAAATTTACCAAAATGAAAATTGTATCCAAAATTTACTGAAATGAAAAATAATCAAGATGGTTATTTTAATGAAAATACTTTTATGGTTAAATATACCAATGTAAATGTTGGTTTTGCTGATAAGGTCTTAATGATTAAGATTCAGAGAATCATTCAATATTTTTCCTCCTTTCCCCCCCTTTAAAAAGAAAAAAGTGGAAATTTCATTTTAAGTTAAAAATCTATATTTTAAGACATACTAACAACCATTTGTTGACAAACATAAAATGTTTATTATTATTTAAGTAAACAAAAAATGTATTATTAACAACAATAAAATATTCATTTCACCTCACTTATACAGTAGGGAACAGATTATCCGGTTTCCTGAATCGCTACAAAAAGCAGTTTTTTGATTGTTAAACCCAACTTAAAAAAACAATGAAGTAATGCACTAATGATTACTTCCAAAATGATGGTAAGGTAAACATCTTTAAAAAAAAGAAAGAAAAATCGTAAAATCTTATGAGGAAAAAAAATTTTTTGTTTTAAGAATGGCGAGAAAATTTATCGAATTTCGTTCCGGTTTTCTGATTTTCGGATAACGGGTTCTGTACTGTATTTGAATGTATTAATACATTAAAATAAAAGTGAGATGCATAAAAAAGAATGGTGAGCTTGCTTGTGGAAAATCAGAAGCACTCAAGCGCTAATCCAAAACCGAACGATCCTAATCTATATGGAACAATAGATATCAACGCTGATAAGTCTTATCTGTCCAGTTTTTTTAAAATTGAACTGGAAATAAAAAGGTTGAACAATAACCGATCTGCTGGCCCAGACAAAATTAAAGCTGAGCTTTTTAAGATTAAAGACCAATAACAGCTAAAGACAATCTATAGAATCATTTGTAGAGCATGGGAATTGGTAATGCCCACAGACTGGGACAAAGGTTTTATCTGGCCTATTTTTAAAAAGGGTGACAGATTTGACTGCATCAATTACAAAGAAATCCTTTTACTTTTGGTGCTGTTAAAAAAAAAAAAAAAAAAAAAAAAAAGAAGCACATTTCTNGGCACACCTTTTTGACCCATTAGGTAGCTAGATAACATTGAAAAAGACTTCCAAGTAATCAGTGCTGGAAAAAGAAGGACAACGTGACTTAACAGGGCAAGATGGCGAAAACTTGTTGAGATGGCCTGTTCCGGGCTGTAGTGCCCAAGAATTCATTAAATTTAACAAAAAAAAAAAAAAAAAACTAAAAGCNAAAAAAAAAAAAAAAAAAAAAAAAAAAAATCTAAGAAATACACATAAATAGATAAATGAAAATGTGTAAGGACAAAGAATATTTCCTAGTTAAAAGTACTTTGGTGTAGTGACTAAATTTTATCAATTTCTACCCCCGTCTAAAATTATTTTCAATTCTTATGAAATTTTGTAAATACAATAGTTATATAATAAATATTTTTACAATATTTTAATACAGAAAAAAAAATAGTGACAATAAAAATAATTTCTGAACTTTTTAAGACATAAATATGAAGAACTACAGAAAAAATATAACTCTTAAATTATTTCTCAATTTATAGTTTAATTATCCATAAAAACAGAAAACTAATAATTAAGTTATGAAATAGAAAAACACGACAAAAATGAATAGATAAGGGAAAACTACAGGTTTCACCATTGGAAACCTCAATTTAGAAAAAAATTTAGAGAGGAAAACAAATAATTACAGCCAGTGTTATTGCAGGAAATAGATTTTGAGAAATCATTAAATTTAGGACAAATAAAAAGGAATATTTCTATCTACATACTAACCTCAAGATCTAGAATTTTAGAATTAAAATAATTCTGAATATTATCATTCTTTTTCCAACCATTAGCTCGAATTTCGATTGTTTCCAGCAATTTCAAACGAGAAACCATATCCAGTCTCTCTTCTCTGGAAGCATTTCGCAAAGTACAGAAGTATCGGTCAATCGCATCTAAAATGGTAAAATTAATTAGAAATTTATACAGATATTGATGCTAGTATATTAGTTAAAAGTTAGAATGATTTACCTTTATTAAACTTATCCAGTTCCTCTCCACGTTTTTTCAAAATGGCACACATTCGAGAAATATCAGCTGCTGTTACATCGTCAAAGTTACAGTTACTAATACTGACATTCAGTATTTCTAAATCAGCTAGTATTTCTAGAAATATAAAGTTGAGATATAGAATATATTTTCTACATTCTTAGAGAATCAAAAAGTTTAAATTTTTAAAGAAATCAAAAACTTCAAAGGCAAACTTCAATTATTTTAATTGACACTAACAGATAAAAATAAAAATTTTATCAAAGTTCCCATGGACTTTGGTTTCATTTTAAGCAACTATAATTCAAATTCCTTTCACAAAAGAATTCATTTTTAAAAGCCTTTCATAAAAATTGAATAGTAAAAAAAAAAAAAAATGTTAATTTTTTTATTTTTTGAGATAATTTTTCTAAATAGCGCATAAAATTAAAATACTTTTTCTAACTTAAAAACTTAACTTTTTCATTAATCAATTTTAACAATCGATGAGATCTAAGTTATAAATAAATATTCTAAGAAAATATAAGATTCAAATATATATATATATATATATGATTTTGTATAATGATACAATTTTATTAATTGAGGATCAATTTAAAGGAATTTGTTTGCTGAATAACAATGATGAGAAACAAAATCAAAAATTTTTCCATCGCTAAATATCAAAAAAATTTTTTTTGGCAAATTTAGTACCTTCTTTAGACTTTTGCACAACAGCATCCTTAGGATCATGAATATGAAACTTTAATGTATCAGAGCTGTTAACTGACTTCAAAGGACGTGGCTTTTTAAGGGGTTCTCTCCGTATTGCTGCTTTAGAAGTCATCCTAAAAATAAGATGAAACAAGAAATAGAACTAGGCAAAATAAATACTTGATACAGAGAAATGCTAGAAGGTTTGCTATTAAAAATGTACATCCCTTTATTGCTTTTCTTATTATAAATTTTGCAAAATGTAAACAGACACCCAAAAAAATTTGTAATAAAAGAAACTGATATATTTAAAAAAAAACTCAAAACAATGAAAATTAAAATATTTTTTTATACTAAATTTGTATAATTTCAATCCGTTATTGAATGTATAGATTATATATCCAAGAAGATATTTAAAGTAGAAAATAGGCAAGGAAATACGTTTATATTATATTTTCTTAAAGAATTCAAGGCTATTTAATGCAAATGGTTTTCTCATTGTTATCAAATCACTGCAAAATAAATACGAGGGGAAAAGATTATTTTATTGTTTAAGATATCAGGTTTATAATTTTTTTAATAGGTAAAAAAGGGTATTAGAAATAATTTAAAACTTCTTACTTGTGGGTACTTAGGTAGGTAGGAAAAAAATTTAATTTTAAAACTATAATCAGAAATAACTCGTACATAGCGCAAACACAGTAGAACGACCTATTGTCAAGCGTTAAATATATCCTTCAAGTTTAAGAAAGAATTATTGAAATGAAGAAAAAAGTGTAGTACAATATTAATCTAAAAATTCCCTTAACAAATAATTTTTACATAGTATTTGCATCGCATAATAAAGACATATGATTTTAAGACTAAGTATTAAAAATTCTCAAGTTGTCTATTTTTAAAGACACACGTCCCTAACTTGCAGAAAATAGTAAAAAAAAAAAAAAAAAAATAANAAAAAAAAAAAAAAAAAAAATTCACAAAAACTTAATAATTATATTTTGAAATCAATAAAATTAAGATTTCGGTTCATTACGGTAAAATATTAGTTTCTTTCTTCTATTTGAAAAGTGACACGCATAATTGGAACAGTACGAATTATTAAGAATTTCATGATTGCATGAATAAATAAAGGCACAATATTAGCGTAGTATATTCCTTACTTAGCTAAAACAAATTTCAGCTCTAACTTTTATAGGCAACAATTATTAAGACTTGAAAATTGTTGACGTTTTATTCATACATGCAATTTTCATGCCCTAGAAGAACAATAACAAACTAGACCAAAACAAATCGAGTTGAGATATTTCTGTTCTTCTTCTTCTTACGCTATATAAATGGGGACAATTTATCACTAGAGTTAGCTGCATTACGTGCTGCATTTTTTAAAAATCTTCTTAAAAATATGAGGTTGATAATAATTTAACAATATTTTTGAAAAAAGGAAAGAAAAGGTAGGTACATGAAGACTAGAGTATCATGGGAAGACAAGAGTATCGACATTCATGGGTAGGTCGGTACTTTATTTACGTCGCACTAGAGCTGCACAATGGGCTATTGGCACGGTTTGGGAAACATCCCTGTGGATGATCCGAAGACAGGCTATCACAATTTTGATCCTCTGCAGAGCGGATGGCTCCCCTGCTTTGGTAGCCCGACGACCAGAGTGCGAAGTCGAGCACTTTTCGATAGAACAGTTTAACGAGGACTGATACCGAGCACTCTCGGTCCCTACTCAGGCTGATTAACGTGATCACCCACTCTCTTACTGATTGCAGCAGTGATACTTGACTTCGGTGTTCTACTCGGAACAGTGTCTTTACTATAAGTTCACTGCGGGACTAAGAAAAGAAATATAATTAAGGAAAGAAAAAAAGCGATTGCAGCTGTATGGAACTTAAAACTGTTTTAAACATAGTTCTGAACGAAAGCATCGTGGAAAGTTAAAAAAATATTTTTGACAAATTAATGTGAAATATATTATGGAAGGGGAAAATTTCATACTACATTCGCATATAATTGAGCAGAAGAGAAGAGATAAAGGGGGGCGAGTCAAGACATGGAACCGGTCTTCTCCCCAGATGGCGCATCAAGCTTTACGATTGAGAATTTTTATTTTTTTTTTTTTTAAAGGAAAGGAAAGGAAAATGCAGTAAAACCTCCAAGAAAGACTACATCTGTGTATCGACCCCCTCCATTTACGACCACTTCTCGAAGGCACGAAATTTTTCCTATTCGCGATCGCAACACTCGAATACGCCATCTGGGGAGAGACCGGTTTCATGCTTTTAGCCCTTCTCCCTTCCCTCTCCTCCTCTTTTCAGTTGTATAGGAATGTACTACGATATTTTCCCTTTTCTTAATATTTTTCCTTTTTATTTAATAAGAATATTTTTTAAAATTTCCATAATACTTTTCTTTAGAACTATGTTTAATGTACTTTTCAGTTCCATATAGTTTTTCAAGTTAAAAGATTTCAATCTATATGAAAATCAAGAGAGAAACTAGCGTACTTCCTTCCTCTATGACTTTCCACACGCTAATGGGGAAAGCTTGTGAAGTGTTGCCATAGGAAAAGAGTTCTGCTCTACGCCACCTGCAGCCCATTTCGATCGCCAATAGACTTTGTGTTGAAAAAAACCTTTAAGAGAGAACATCAAAATCTGTCCTTGTGTCCGGGCAAATCTCTGTATCAAATACGGAAAAGGTCAAATATGGAAACACGAAAAAAATTTCAAAACAAAAAATATTAACAAAACAAATAAGTACAATTAATGTACTCAAAATATTTAATGAGACCTTTATTTAGAGAGCACTTTTTGACGATCTCTGTTAGAGATAACAGACTCATAATGCAGTCAGAGTGCACTAAAGACGATGCTATCAATGATTTATTATTAGAGTTGAAAATTAACTTAGAAAAAAAAAGTTATTTTAGAAATAAAACTAAGCATCTTAAACAAATAAAACTCTTCTCACCTTCTAAAGTTAACTAATTTTAATGCAATTTAACATAAAATTAAATGCAAACTTAAACGAAAAGATAATTGTTTACTTATTTAAAATAGTTTTTCCTTCATAATTAGTAAATTTGTTTTTACATTTAATTATATCAATAAGGATCATTTTTATTGACGCTAAATTATATTCATCGATCTGGTTTTCAGGACGCCAACACAAGTGGCATTTGCGTACCGAGACTAAATGGCTTAAAATAACAAAAACTAAAATCTCTTGCGAAAATTACGTACCTTCAACAAAAGTTTGAAGTTCATGGAGGTATCCTTTAAGAACGACCAACCTTCATTAACGACCATTTTACTGTGGAACAGAAAGTGGTTGCTTCCGAGAGGTTTCACCGTATTTAGAAAAACGGATGAAGTGAAGAATATATTAAAATATCTGTGACTTGGATAGTTCCCAGAGATAACATTAAAAAAAATGGACTCCTTTCTTCATATATCACTCCAATTAGGAAACTTCTAGAAAAGAGAAAAAAACTGTTAGACATTTTAAGGTGAAAATTAATTTATAAATATTCAATAGAAAAATATCACGAAAAATCTACTAGATTTTGAAATCATGATTTTTGTAATTTAAAACGCATATGATGAATAATAACAAGCATTTACGTAATGAAAATAATGGTAAATCTTGAAACAATCGTATTCACTTAGTTAAACTTTAAAACATAATAATTCATTAACGATTTGTAAAAAATCAAATGCTTAAAAAGAAAATTAATTTTTTTTTTATCACACTTGTAGCTTTTCTAAATACAGTGTTCTGTAATGGCTAATCTTTACTATATATGTAACGAATCCTTTGCAAAAATAAAGACAAAAAAGTATACACAAGCATGGTTGCATATTAATATACATTTGCGAAAAATAAACAAAACAAAATTTTTTTCGAAATCTTTCGAATTACTACTGAGGAAAGTGGGACTGCAAACATCAAAGCCTGTTTGAATGCCAAAGGAAACAGAGTGGAGTTGAAAGACAGTCAGTCGAAATAAATTCAAGTATCATCATACAATCAAACTGGTTTTTTTCTGTTTTTTAGTTTCCATATTTTAATAGCGACTCGTCAAAATTCGATATCATTTTTTTTACTTCTTTATTTGAATATTAATTTGAAACTTTTTATGGGCATGCTTTTTGTTAATTTAATATTTGTCAAGGAAAAATAAAACATTTAAAAGATTATCAAAAAATTACGGAGCACTTACCAGATCTCCTATCAAAAACAATAGTTTAAATTAACTCTTAAAATAAAACAAGTAACATGAGCGAATTAAAAACGAGAAGTAAATATTTCAAAATCTGTTTGCACGCATTCACAATTCTGATAAGATAAATAGCGAATAAAAAGTAAAACCATATAATATCTATAATTATTTTATTCGCTATAATTTCGATTAAAATTTAATAATAATCTTTTTTAACGCAATCAAAAGAAACAGGGAGTTTCTGAAATCAGTTATCATAAGTTTTTTTAAAAGAAAAAAAGTCGTTTGGATTAAAATAAGTTGGAAAGAACAATTTAATTCTTGAAATAAAGAAATAAATTAATATTTAATAAAATTCTAGAAATGGGGCCATTTATTTAAAACGATATCCCCCTTTCTACAGCTCAAGTTAAAAGTATACCCTCGCTTCATAAAACTGGAGCATTCTTCCTCAGCAGGAATATCGCTCATTAAAAAGTGAATGGCATAGTAGCCGCAATTAAATAACGAGTACAAAAGTGTTATACGTGCTTTGTAATAAAAAGATACCATCTTCAGGTCATAAAGTTCTCCGAGATCCTAAGAACAACGATTTTGAGGATAAAACTGGGTATACTAAATATACTCCTTATGATCCTGAAACTTACTCCGGCACTATATTTTCCTTACACTCAAGATTCTGTTTTATAGTTTTTCTCTCAGAAAATATAGCTTCATATAATGGTATAGGAAGTATTATTAAGTTCTAGGAGCTTTGGCTGAGAAAAGGATCTACGTTTTAAAGGACCTCTCTTATAGATTTTTGATCGTAAACATCTAATAATGCATTAAATAATGTAAAATATATCATAATGATGTATTTTACAGTACATTTGAGCATTTTATATCCAGTAGTTTGAATATAAAAATGTTTTATTCATAAGTTTTTTTCTCACTAGATTCTTCGGAAATTAGCGAAAAAGCTATAAGAGTATTTGATAATGTTTTTTATTTATTTATTTTTTTTATATCTGAGAATCAACATTAAAACTGTTTAAAAATAAAACTAAATATTTTTATGCATGAAGTTTCCTCAGCAATTTATAAAAAATGTCAAATACTTCAAGATATTTTGGGGGATGAAAATAATAAAATAAGATAGGTAGAACTTCGACCCACCCCAGGGGGGTATACGGAGATAAAAAGTCAAATTATTACATGAAATGTTTAAGCTGAAGACTAAAAATACAGTAAAATTTTGCCAAATGACAGTGGTGGTGATCAGTTAAAAGTGAATTAATAAAAAATTAAAACAATTAAAATCATGTTTTAAAAGCTATGAAAGCTAAAAGTGATCGATCCGGTGTAAATGAAAACTGGAAATAAATCAAATTAAAAAATAATAAAGTAATTTTTAATTTTTATTTCCTATAGCAGAGAATACAAACAATAACACAAAGGAACAATAAAAATAGAAAATAACAAAAGACCGAAGTCATCTTCCCAAAAGTTCTCTCGCATGCCAATATCTTGCGGTCTCCGAGTCTAGTCCGGGGAGCCTCCTACAGCAACGGAGGTGCTCTCTATTCATTGGTGCTCCAGAACCACACAGTTGACACTGAGGGTGGTCATAAATATCTATACGATGCAGGTGTTCTCCTAGACAATCATGACCCGTTAGGAGTCTAAAGGTGGCTACTGTATCTCGGCGAGGCTTATCTGGCACTGCTTAATGTCTGTCTCACGCCAGTTCTTATTCCTTATGCTTTCTCGTAGGTCAGCGGAGGCATTCATTTTAATTATGTTTTTAATATGTAGTTTTATGGAATGGTATGACAATCCAGAGCAACTTGGTTGAAGGATTTGTGTTCCCTTGCGAGCAAGAAAGTCAGCTTGTTCGTTACCATAGATGTTACAGTGGCTGGGAATCCACTGGATGACTACTCTTTTGTTTTTAGTGCCAAAAGTCTCATAAGTCTCCGACACTGAAGCACTTCATCCGACAAAGTGTCTTCCTGTGGGCCGATCGCCTGGATTGCAGCCTGAGAATCTGACAGCAATACAACTTTTCCAAATTCTGAATGGATGGCCAACAGTTGTTTCAATG